AGACAAAAACAGAATTAACTCGCACAAGTTCCTTCGAGGAGTTTCAAGGATAATCGCGATTCGCTATTTGCGAGGTTTTCTCAGCCCTTTAGGGAAGGATTGTGGGGGGTTTTAAACTTCGCTGGAATCTGTATTTGTGTTTGTGCCGCTTTTGATGTGTGGTGCGTGCTGGGCATTGGGGTCGATGGTATTTATGTGCCTAAAGGTCAATGCTGAATAACCCGGCACGATCTTGAAACCTTAGCGATTTCAACACACTTGGGCCTTCTCTGAGTCAATGTCGAGCCAAATGCTGCTCAGTTCTTTGTCTGCAGGCAAATGTGTGATGGAGAAATGTGGCTAATGGAATGGTGGATGATGTTATATATGGGAAGCACACAAAAATGGGTTCCTAGTTCCAGTAGATAATTCTAAAAAAAAAAAAAAAAAAAAAAATTTTAAACATAAGGGGGGAGGCCGAGGGACGGTTCACCAACGTTGAATGCATATTTTTTTTAATTAAAGTAATTCTTTCTGGAAAACCTTGGTATTCCATTTAGTTTCATGAGATCGGATGCCTACGATCCCATTTTGCGTAAAATTTTTTTTTTTTAAAAAACCCCCCCAACCGCAAATTAACACTAACCGCAACAACAATTAACTGCAATTATAACTGTTGCCCCGTAAAACCACTGGATAAGTAATATTGGCCATAGATGATTTTCCATGCAATTAACGCATTCATTAGCCTTTTTTGTAAATGTTTGTTTTGCGTAGCACCCAACAAGACGCATTTACATACTAAATTGGTTCATAAAACTGCCACAATGTTGTGCTACGTAATACTCTTATGGGATTATTATTAGATGAGTGAACATTTCAAACATAGGTACAGTGAAAGCTTTTGGGAAAACAGAGAAGGTATGTGGTTACTTTTCCACGAATATTGTTCGTAAGTGAATGAAGAAAGAATGGAAACAATGGAGCAGACACAAAGGACTAAAAAGGTTTGGGTCCCTGTAAAGCTGATGTCTCCCAGATGGGTATACCTTACTTCCCAGCAATTATCCTCATTTAGAGTTTTGACTTGAACAAAAAAACTTATCAAATTTATTCATTAGACTTTCATTCAGTTTATAAAAATCGTTTAATTTTGTTGAAAGACTTTCATTTTGCGTTCGATGTATGTGTACCATCGTTTTTTATGAACTTTTACCTACCATTTTAACATTTTAATGTAGACTTTAACACTCGTTAGTTTTTATGGGATTATTATTAGATGGGTGAACATTTCACTTAGGCTGGCAGGAAGGCGAGTTTTATTGATGCAGGGGCGCCAAAAGGTGGCCCTGTTGATAGGTACTTAATCACGCTCATATATTTCATATTCATTTGTTTATGCTAATATTTCCTATTAAATTACATTTGATATTATACGTAAATATGAGAGATCATATCACGCCGTTAGATAGTTTTCCGCAGGAAATTAAATGCAATTTAGCTGAGAATCCAACCCAAAATGGTGGCCGATGCTTTATGAACATGGACATCCTCATATTTATGAAAACTTCTGCTGTCAATTGTGTGTAGGTGTGTATAACCCTGTGTGGGTGCGTGCTTCTGTGTGTGGGTTAATTTATCGTGTGTGTGTATAATGTTCTGCCTGCCTGTCTGCATGGGAGTAATGTTGCAGTTCGAGCGCAGTGCCGTTTGTCGGCATTTCCTGGCAGTCAGTGCAAGCGTGGGTTGGGCTTTGGGGGTTACAGGTAGAAATTTCACCCACTTGAATTTTCTTCATTTCACCGGAAAAGTCCCCTCTCCATTACTCTCTCCGTCTGTGTCTGTGTGTGGTGGGAATTAATTATGCAGGCGTATCATGGCAACATCATTCCGAGCCAGCCTCCACTCGCGCACAGCCTGACACAGACCCATACACCTACAGACACTCCCATATAGATACACCAATCTCACAGATGCACACAGCTACAGGAACGTACCCACACACGCACCGACACATCCTGCCTCCAATCTCGCTTCCGCTACCTCGCCTCCCGCATCCGACCCGTTGCAGTTTGCGGTTTTCATTTGTGAGCTCTGCTCGAGCCTGATCCTTTTCGCTGTTTGCCATTGCAGTTTCCCACTGCCCAGCCCACTCAACGCTTGTTGCTGGACTCCTGTTTTTTATACTCCCGGAGTCCAGAAGGGTATTTTGTATTCGTGAAGGTATATGCAACAGGCAGCAGAAAGAGTTTAAATTTAAGTTTAAAGTTCTGCTTTTTGGCTTTCTTTACTAACGAAATCAACGGCACGTACCAGAGTAATGGGTATCTTATTGTCGCAACGATTTTATTTTTGAGCATATTTCATGTTTTTCTTGTGTTTTTGCTTTGTTTGCATTTCCATGTGATTTCACTGTCCTGCCAGTAATCAGTGGGTCGCATTGGGTGGCCGATAAACGTGGATGTGGGCTGCTGCGATGTTGCATTTTAAGGTCTCGAGACAGCGAATTATCTCAGCTACCATTTATTGCAGTTTTAATTGATTTCATTTAGCTTCCCGTTCCCATCTCCCCATATATACTTACATACATGTTTCTACCCCCCTTTCTGAGTGGATATATCTGTGATGCGGTTGCCTTGGCTGTCTCATGGTGGCGCTGTCATCAGTGTTAACCCTTTGGGGTGCACTACTGCTTATAAATTCTATAAATTTTAGATCATAATGTGGGCAGACGGCCCCAAGTCTCGACCCCCCGCCCTGTGCGTTTGTCGTGTTGTGTGTGTGTGAAAATTACATCTGCTTGATGATGTTGCTCTCTCTCGTGTGGGAGGGTGGGAGGTAAATGGGTCAAAAGATGAGCTACTATTTGTTATGCATTTTCATTAGTACAAACTATCCAGCTTGGGCGCTGTCATTAGCACAAAATTGGCTGCAAAGATTGGGTGCTCACCGGTGTAGCTTTTAGTAGGCTTTTAGCTGGAAAGTTGGTCAAAGAGTAATCAGGAAATGTCTAAGGAACTGGGAGCACTTTTAACTATGCATATAATGGCGGGTATTCATAATTTTTTGTACCCAAATACACTTTTAATAGTCCAAAAAGGTTGCAATTTAACAGTACTTACAAATTATTTTCAATGTCGGCCTGGAGAGAAAGAGTATAATATGGTCATAGTTATTCAAATTATTCTTATTAAGAATATAATGTAATGGGTTTCTGACTTCATAAAACCATCCTAATGCCTGTTTGCGGTAAGTATGCACTGATCGTGAGATCTTTCCCATATTTCGCGCATAATTGCCCTAGTTCTACTAAAGCGAGCGACTCTACTTCTTCATACATACATATGTACATACATATGCAGATGGAAATATTTCCTCTGGCAATGCGCTGCCATCGGCGATTGCATAAATTCAGGTTTCTCTTCGACTCATTAGCCGCAGTTTGCACTTTCCCCCACTCACTTTCCCCGGGCTTGGAACTCATTAGGCCAACAGCTCCTTTAGCGCCAGTCTGCTAATGAAGCACCCAATACCAACACCAACCCACACCCGATCTCCCTTTTCATAGCGGAAATCATTAATTATACATTGTTCGGGTGTGTTTTTTTTTTGTTCACTGTCATATTTATTTGGATTTTTGCATAGTAATAATATTTTTCCTTTTATTAGTAATGGTTTTTGTTTTTTTTTGATCAACTTTTGGGTTTGCTTCTAGTTTTTTTTTATACATTAAAATTTATGCTAAAATTTGTAAATAAAATCATTTTGAAATGTTTTGTTGCTTTGTAATAATTATTCGTATATATTTTGCTTGGTATTTCTGTGGTGGCATCTATAGAGACAAATAGATTGGAGGACACAGATTTATGGAAATATTTATGTGACATTTAGCATTGCATTGAGATTGCGCTTGGTTTAGTGTGGTATGATGAAGTTGTGTGTGGCGAAATTTAATAAATATACATATAAATTTAAGCAAATATATTGCCCGTAAATTATGGCAAATAAACGATAAAAGTAAATTAAATTAAAAAATATAGAATGGAGTAGCATTATGCATTAAAAGGCTTATTGTGTCGCGGGTTAAGTGCTAAATAATTTCGTAATATTTAAATATCCCAAAATGCAGTCGCATAAAAAATATGTATATCGTTTGGAATTTAATAATTGAGCTCCTATATTGTTCGCAATTCATTAATATGCAAATGATATTATTCTATTATATTTATTGCCAAAAGTTGTTGAATTTCGGGTGCCGCTTAAATTTAAGATTTCATCTAAAATATATATATACAGTGCTTGAACTATATCGATTGGATTAAACTAAAAGAGTTGTGCGGGAATAGAAACTATAGTTTGTGTAAATTTCGCTTATAGATTTTCCTTTTAAAGCTGCTGTTCTACGATACGTTTCTTATCGTTGGTTCGTGAGTAACACGAAATGGCATTTAACTGATGCAAAAACTTATTAAAGAGGGAGACCGAGTTCTTCAAATTCAAATGGTTGGTTTTGTGTGAATAGTTTGAATGGCAACAGTATAACAGCAGCTTTCAAGAGAGTGAGGTGTGTATTTCTAAAGTGGATGTATGTATCAGCTTAATTTAGTTTAGTTGAGCTATCAAAAAATGCAGGGAATAAGCAAGAGTTCACATTCATACGAGTACGAGTGTGGTTTATACATTTATCCGTCACTATTTTATCCGTAGATATTTTATTTTATTTTCTATAATATTTATGCTTGTGTATGTGTATCTGCTTTTAAATGCCTTTTGTTTTCGTTTGTTTAAATGTTGGATTAAACATTTTGGTGGCTGGCAAAAAGAAAACAAAATTAAAATTTGACTAGAAATTAAATATGAAAATTTAATTTTGTTTGTGATGTTTTTTTGTGTGTGTCGTTCGTTTGTTTTTTATATGAATAAAGTTTGTTTTGTATGTTTTCTTTTATACGTAATTTATATAATTAATTTTTAATTTTAATGATTTGTGTGAGTGTGTTTTTGTTTCGTTTATTATAATTAAATAACATAACATTACTTAATTAAAACTAAAAACGCAGTCAATTTATATATTTGGAATTTCATTTTTCTTTATCATAGAATACGCATAACTTTGTTTTCCTCACAATATGTTTTTATATGCATAATTAATGTGGAAACATTTATGAACAATTCTACATTTTGTTGCAGTTGCTATGAGTTTTTTCTTTCTTTTCTTTTTGGATTAAAACATGCGCGAAAAAGTCTTGTTTCTTGTTTTGCTGAAGATATAGAATTCGTTTGTAGATACTTTTTCTTTACAGCTATTGGGTTTACAGACATTTACTTTACTCAAATTGAGGGCAAAATATTTTGGTTGTAAAACATCTAATACACAATCAGCAGATATATCAATATATGTATGTATGTCCAGGATATCTATATAGATTTCTGTGGTTTTATTCGTATGGGATTTGTATAGGATATGCAACTAAATTCTCTTTATTCTCTTTGAATGGAAATTATGGATCATTTGCGCAAAGCCTTTCCTTTGCCTTTCCATTCCTGGTTTTTGCCTTTTCAACTTTTGCCTGTCTGCGAGACTGTACACAGACCGAATAATACTTTTCCAGGTTTACTTGGGAGGGGGATTCTCCTTGCGCTTACGACATGGCATTATAGACGGAAGGCTGCTCATGCTGCTTGGGGCAGCGTCCATGCTTGTCCATGTAGTGGCCGTACTCGCAGGTTGGGGGCTTGCAACCGCCGTGTTTTATGCATCTGAAAAGGGAGAGATACGGAATAGAGTTTGAGGAATGAAAAGCTTTCTGATTGCATGACTCACTTGCGATCGTCCACGGCAAAGTGCTCATTGCCCCGCTTCAGCCAGTCGCAGTCGTAGTTGCCGGAGCTGCAATCACAACGGCACTGGCCATTGTCCTGCAGAATCACCTCGAAGCTGCGCGGACAAGTGCAACTCAGGATGGTGGCCCTTACAATGGAAGTGCTGGCCAGGGCGACGGCATCCTCCTTGAAATTGGACCTCTCAATGCAGTGGCATTCGGTGTGATTCACAAAAGTTCTCTTCTCGATAATGGGTCGATGCTGTTTATTGCTTTTCACCTGTGAATTGGGCGTAAAATGGGGTGTTAAATCCTTAATCAGAGATGCCATATCATATAAATTGTTGTAGCATTAATTATGTCAGCAAACTATTTGCATATTGAGCTTGCATAATGCCCTCAATGTGCGCCCGAACTCACTGAACCCCAATGCATATACAACTATCCATTTATGTGTACATATCTGTTGATGTGTATCTGAGAGTTGACAGTTCCTTAAGCCGACTGCTCATCAAACTTGTTGTCATTGTTGCCATGGCTCGTTGTCGCCCTGTAGCTATAGCTCTTGTAATTCTTAAATGAGTTGTCAGTTGTCAATGGCAGCGGCTGCGTCGGATTATTGAAAGCCGTTCGCTGGGGGGCATAGTAAATAATAACTCATTTACCATTGAAATTTACAACAAATTATCGCTGGCGAAATCACATCCCAAACTTATTCTACACATGGCATGTAAAGTAATATTTTTTATCGCAAATACTCCCCAGAAGACACTTTGTCCCATAGTTTTACTTGCAAACTATTCCAAATAGAACAATCTTTTCTAGCTTTCCAACTCTTTGCCATGGGGAATCCCCTTTCATTTGGGGTGGACGCCTCTGTCCAGCAGCCATTAGCAGACCGCAAAACTTCTACAGCTGTCGAGATGCTGGGGATTGGATTGCATTGGTACTTCTCTGGGTCTCTACTCTCGAGACTGTGGACCCATGTCTCTCTGCCACTTCCACTGCCACTGACACTGTCTCTCCTTCTCGTTCGAATTTATGTGTGTGTGCTTTGTGTTGCATGACAAGTGCAAAATGATGAAATGCGTATGAATTGCATAAATTAAGTTGAATTCGTTTAATTAAAATAACAAGTTGGTTATTAATCAAGACTCAGGCACTCATCCAGCAGAGAGGAGTGTTGAGTCGCAAGAGGAGTAGGAGGAGCAGCAGAAGCAGAAGGAGTAAGAGGATAGACAAATATTAAAGGAGACCAGCCAGAAAAATATGGAAAGGATAGACAAACCTTCGTCTGAAATGACAGAGAAAATGCTGTGAAGCATTTGAATTTTGATTGGACGCATCAAACCGGAACAACTAACAAACCCAATAAGTTGACAAAGGAAAAGGGGGATATAAAAAAAACCACGTTTTTCCCACCAAGATTCTCTGAATGTATTTATGAAAATGCTGCAAATTGAGTTTTTAGGTAGTTTGGCTCGTTGCGGGTTCGTTCGTGTTGTATGCTGTGTGCTGTGTGGTTTTTTGGTTTTTTGGCCAATGCTTATGTAAATGCTCTCGAATGCAACGAATTGAAAAAGTTTTTCATGCTCAACAGAAAGTTCCTTCGCCTCCATGCTGTGGCGGTTTGCATTCGCATGCCATGGCACAAAAAAATTCCATCATGAGAGCCCGTTGAAGGAACTGCTTCTCTCACACACTCACCTCACCCTCGGCGGAACCTTGGATTGCATCTGAAACTGTGGCCCTTTTCTGCACTAAGAACAACAGTAATTGCCGGAAACGGAAGTGCAAAAGTGCTGCTGTTGTTACTTTAGCCCCTACGCTTATCCCTTCACTCCACTTCACCCTTTTTGACCACATCTGAGCAGAAAAACTGCACTAAAGTGCTTCTCCTGTTCTCCTGCAAATATGCAAAACTATGCCTATAGCATGATATATAACTATATTGTTTATAAGTGTGGAGGGTGGTTTATTTTCCAAGATGGCTTCTCTAATTGAGGTTAGGTTTTTATGCATGCAAATGCCATGCATTCTTTCTCCCTCTCTCTCTCTGTTCTCTGTTCTCCAGGGAATATGCGTGTGTTCATGATTGTCCTTGAGTGTCCGTATGAAGCCATGTGACTTGAGCAATTAGTCCGTTATTACTAGGTTTGCTTAGAAGGATGGCTAAATGAGGCCCTGGGAGCTGGCTGAAGTGCGATTAAGTCGGCAATATGTGTGTAAAATGTTTTTCCTAAATTTGCATGCACTTTCTTTTCCTCTTTTGTTCTTTTTTAAACCCAAACAATGGTCTGTGCTAAGACCCAAATCGAGCAGAGCACTAAACGTACCGATTCCCTCGGAGGATTGAGCCTTGCTTAAGTGGAGAAAAGAATATTCAATGAATATCTGAATATTGCATTTTTAAATTATCGATTACTAGAATTAAAACGGACTAACACATTGGACATTGCATACTGAAACAACGGTCCATTAGAAAATTTTGAACATCGTTCAAACTTTAAATGAAATGGTTTAACTTATGGCCTTAATTATCTCTACCCTACATTTGTTATTCCATTTAAAACAAACTCCAAAACTACTACCCCTGAAAGCGCAATCAACTGAATTATTCAGATTGCACTGACAATTTCTGCCCCGTTCCCGACAACACTACCCTTTCCACCTGAACGCAATTGATGAATTTAGTTTGAGAACTTTGAACTTTGGCAAATGAATCTTTGAACTTCTGTAGTAAACACACATGCAGCAAATTAGTGGAAAGCTTAGACAGGAATTCCTTCTTCGTAGCATTCTTGGTACTGGATTAGCCCAAAGAATGCAAAACGGCAACTGTCATCAGCATTTCTGGCAAAGTTTTAGCAGCGTGGGAGAAAGAGAAACAGCAAAGAAGTTTTGGCTACAGACAGAGAGAGAGAGAGGGAGAGGGAGAGAGAGAAACAGAGGCCATTTCTCATCCATTTCATAACGGGAACATCAGTGGAGCATTAGAGAAGCTTTCGCCATAACTGCTTGGGGTCCTGCAGGTGCTGCTTCTCCTGTTGCCTGTTTCCACCTGCTTACGTGCTCACAATTTGCATTTGCCCCCGACTCAACGTCTACACTGAGCAAAAAATATACCTAGAAGCTATCCATCGCTCTATTGTGCGTAGCGTACCTCCACTCTCTTGCTCACTTTCTCTCTCTTACAGAGTAGCTTAGAAGTAGTTTATTATTGAGTAACATTGCTGTAAGACTGTAAGCCTCTTCCAGTGAAACTCCTTGAATGCAAATTCCAAAGTCGAATTTGTCTCAGTGTAATACTCCTACACCTGCCTCTCTCTGCTGCTGTCGCTTCGAGGCACACGTGTAGCTGTTGTCTCTGTTGCTCTCTCCAGTTGGCCTGGGGATTTATGCTTGGGAAAATTGCATTACGCAGCTCAAACTGGCGACGACGGCGGATGTGTCACGAGAGTGCCACCCACTAAGCCCATTCCCCGAGCACTACTCTCTCCTCGCAGCATTGTTTAGCTTAGCAAAATGAATGCTCATCTGGAGCTGATTATGCATGTGCCTAGAGCTAGCCACATTTTGTGGCAAATTAATTAAATCGCCTGCGTTCCGGGGGAGGACATTGGGACATGGCCATAACCATTTGCCTGTCAGCCAATTGACTTTTACTTTGGTCTTGGCCCCAGCTTTGACTTTGGTCTAAACAAGCAAAACTTTGTTTGTTGGCTTTGCGTTTTGCTTTGGTTGAGTGTGGGTGGGCGTTGGCTTTCACGTTTAGAGGCTTTTGATTTCAGCTTTGCTTTTCTAGCCACAACTTCTCCTGGCTGTGGCTGTGGCTGTGGCACTGGCCTGCTCTGCTCTGCTCTGCTCTCCGCTGTCCTGCCGCCTTTTCGGCCTGGGTGAAAGTTGAGTGCATTGAACCCCAGAGAACCGGGAGGACCATGCGAGCAACTCATAAATCTCTCAACGCTTGCAACATGTGGCTCAGGCGGGAGGGGCAGGAATATGTGTGGGTGTGGAGTGCATTGCCCCGTGCTGAACGTTCCACAGTGCAGAATCTTCCCCCCCTTTCGTTTTTTTTCTTTTCCACAAAAATGCGAAAATTTGCGCACCATAAATTACGTTTTGTTAAACTGTTTAACCTTTTTATATACTCTTGTAGAGGGCATTGGGCTTTTGACAAGATTTTTGGAATGCAGAGGTGGAAAATTATATTATTCAAATTAAGATTCCTTAATGATAAGAAAAGCTGAATGAACGAATCTTCGAAGTGTCTAATCTATTGTAAGGTAGGAACTAAAGGGGTTTTTAAAGATAATCCACTGATTTATTATAAATCGCATTTTAATATGGTTTAATCGTACATAAAGTTGATCAAATTCGGACATTATCAGGGTATCTAATGCATCGCCATACGGTGGTAGCCTTTTCTTTCATGGTTCCCTCTACTGTTGTTGGTTGCATACTCCTCGTCTGGTTATCTTTTCTCACCTCCAGGCCCCCCCTCTTTTCCACATTTTGGTCCCTGCTGCCCTCTGGTGCTTGGGTCTCAAGCTGTTTGCCTGCCACTTGACACCTCTCAATGACAAACCGCTGAGATGGGCTCCCTACCGAAGCTCGTGCTGTTTCTTCTCCAGACTTTTTAGCTGCTTCTTCCAGCACCTTCTTCTTATTCTGCTTCTTCCTGCACTGTTTATTCTTGCTGAACTGCTTCTTCCCCTTTTCCTGTTTCTTCCTGGACTGCTTCCTTAGTTCCTTCTGCTTTTTGTTGCACATTTTCTGTGTGTGGTGAAGCTTTAGAATGCCAACAGCTTTGAAAGGCAACTACAGCATCCTGAATCCCCTGGCTAGACATATTTGTTGTGCTTTATGGCTTGCATTATAAGTATAAAAGAAGGGGGATAAGAAAGGGCTATCAAAAAGGACACTAAACATACACTACAGCTGAGGGCGGGTTCCATTGAAATTATCATAAAGCCTGGGTTAAAAAATGGCTATTTTGCTATCTATTGAGATTTATTACAAGCCTAACATAATAGGTCCAACTCCTCAAGGGTGTCAAAAACATTTAAATCGCCATCCAATATTAAAAAATATTACTTACTCCTAAAGAAAGTACCGGAAAACATAAATATTCTATGGTGTACTTGCTAATGGGCCAAAGCTAGTGGGCTTCTCTGTAGGTAAAAAGAGTAAAAAGAAGACAGTTACCGACTGATTTTTCCCAACATTTTAACATGAATTAATTGGAAAGAGCTTAAATTTGTTATATAAATTTCCCTTATAATTTAATTGATTGATTACATTCTTTACAAACTAGCTTCCTTGGATTACTCTAGCAACTCATAAACCTTCACTTTATTTTCTGGTGTATCCATTCCATTCATCTTTTATTTCCACTTAATAGGGTTTTTGCTTCCATGCCGAAAATGTTAAATTACCCTACAATAATTTGTGTGGTTTTTGCTGCAAAGTTTTATTGGATAATTAAGCGGGGTAGCTTTTCTGCCTCCATATCCCAATACCCTCCTAACCGAGCTCATATGTGGGTATGTTTGTCTTGTTCTTAAGCATTTTGCGGTTGCCCCCCACCCCCACATCTATCCCAATGTGTGTGCGCATAAATCTTGAAAGTGGAAACTTTTTGCGCCAAGCGCAGCATAAATATTTGAAAATTAAAAGCCATCCGAAGAGTTCAGAGAGTTACGAGCTCCTTGGATGCCCGTCTCGAAGGGTGTACAAAAAAAACGTTGCAGCTGCTAAAAAGGGCTCCGCAAAAAGGAAATTTATGAAAGTTCTGCAAAAAGAAAAGAGCTTTCATAATGGAAAACTAAGCAAAGGCAAGCAAAGCTGAAACAGGATTCGCCATGAGAAATAATGAAGAATAGGGCATATGTTTGCCGTCCAAAAGAAGGTCACAGGATACATATGTTAGGGCAATGAGGGATCTCAGGGAATTGAGTTTTTTATGGGTTACTGTTGCCAGGCCAATTGCTATATTCTCTGTAATATATAAAGTCTTAAGAGGAACTTGGGAAATGAGTCGCTCTACAGTGGATAGTTAAAGTTCTTAGGACAAATGTGAGCGTCAATCCTCCCCTCAATAATTCACTCCTTATTAAATCTTCCACTTCCACTCTTCCACACGACCAATTCTAACCTCAATTCCATCTTGGGTTTACATGATTTTCATATTAATTTCTAATGAACATTTACTCGAACTAGATTCCTTATTAGTTTCCACATAATTTTATCTGACATTGATTTACTTTGAATCCTTATGCTATCCTCACTTTGAACACATTTTCACTTCAACCCACACACCTTTTGAACCGGCTTTTCCACACCAATTATCTGATATAATTATTAACAATCCATCAAGTCAACAACAATCCAATATGTAGCACATTAAAATTGTACAAAATGAGTTTCCCCCCACTATCAAATGCTTAATTACATTCTCAATTTCCACATATTCTCGTGCTCGTATTGAAAGCTCGTTATATAACAAAAAGCAGCAAGAACAATGTCAGCGACAGAGCAACGGACACTGCAAACGGTAACAACAATAATCATATCATGGAGCATAAATCACCAAACAAATTGAATTATCATTGCGTCATTAAAAAGTCATTTCAGTCAAAAGCCCACAGAAAAAAAAGAATTACGTTTATACCAACGGAAAAAAGGTAAAATGAAAATAAAGGTGAAGCGATATAATTATGCTGCAATATGGCGCCCTCAAGCATGACCTACGCCCACGAACAACATTAAGAGCAACAAGAGCAACGACAACGACAATTACGGTTGAAGGTAGGAGAAGAAGGTATTGAGAGAGGTAAATATGAGCAGTAGCGGAGGGTCATTAGAGTTGGTGATGGCAAAACAGATAGTCGAAATTTTGTACAATAAATGATACATATTTCGATATATACTCGCTTATATAGGTACATCTGCATGATGCTTCGATATCCAAATATGTTTTTTTATATTTTTCTCTTTGCAGCAGAACAGTTTGGTTATAATTGTTTATAAATCGATCAAAACTTCAATATTTATGGTGTATAATTTGGGATATTTTCTCTAGGCTACACATAATTACCAATATTCAAACTGATTTTTAAACAGAATAAAACTGTAAACAATTTTAAATTTATTTCTAGTAAAAAATTCAGTATACGAAATGTATAAAATAATATAATTTACTTTGAATATCATGACACTTAATACATAATTATGTCATTGCGCATTTATCGCATTTATAATCGAAAAATGATCGATATTTCTACCATCTCTATGGCGCTTTTTTTTAGAAGTCTCTTCATTGAATGTGCGTTTACCCTTTTCAAAAGCGTGCGCGTGTTCACTGAAAGCCTAAACACAACGAATGCGTTTGTTCCGACATCATACTCGAACCAGAATGAAATTGGTTTACTTTTGTTTTCGTTTTTGGTGCTTCACCCAAGCACAACTTTTGAACGAAAGTTTTTACTGACAGACCCAAGGGCGTGGCCTATTAAAGGGAGTTAATAGAAAACTGATGTAATAATAATAATCGTAAATGCCACATGAAGCGAAAGCTTTGAATGGAAGAATTGAACAGCGCTGTGCATGATGAAAGGGGACAGTTTTAGTTGGCAATTATTACTTGGTGCACAAGTAAGGAAATCAGACCTTAATAATAGGGTTTTTAAATGGGGAGGAAAGACTTAATATTTTTTTATTTTTCGTGAAATCACTGTAGTGAGAAAAAATGAGGCATTGGTTTGTAGGGAATCTGTTAATTTTTTAATGATATGATATATGATATGATATGAGCAGCTTCATTATGGAGTTCCAAACAAGAATGAAGTAACTTCAATCCTTCAATTCTCAATTCTCAGTCAGTATTACGATAATGCGGCTCTTGCACGACTTTCTGATTTTCACTCTTCAAGTTTACAAAACATTTTTCTTAATATCGCTTTAAATCTATCGAATTCCGTGGTATAAATATCTAAAATTGTACTCACAAAGAAATGCAATTCAACGTTGTGGGTGCTCTTGGCGGCACAGATCTGGGTTCGGCTGGGGCAGCAGCCGCTGTCCTCGCTACAGCGGTGCAGGACGGTACAGTGGGGCGTGTAGATCTTTGAGGGGTCCTGCTGGACGCGCTGGCAACGGGGCTGGGGCACGCGACAGGTGGCATCCGTCATCACCTGATGCATATGGGCCTGGGCCAGAGCTGCAATGGGAATTCCAGTTTACTTTATGTGCTTCCCATTCTCCGGGCTTCCCGGCTTCCATTGTGTGTGGACTTACCTCTCTCCCGCTTCTGCATCAGGGCTTGTTGTCGTCTGGCTTTGAGCGCTGCCTCTGGCGTACCCAACTGTTCCTCCTTTCTCTGCGTTAGCTTTCCAGTTATGTAGTTGGGTGAGTAAATGTTTTCAACATCCTGCAAAAAGGAACAGGGGGAAACACAACAAAAGTTTAGTATTCGTTTGCTCATGCTAATTGATTGTAAGGTACAGTACGGTATAGTATGATATGGCAAAAAAGTTGTTCATGTTGTTCGTCTCCCCTGAGCTTTTTCTAGCCCCCAACACATCATTCACATTACGCATACGCCGCCTGAGCCGCTCCATAAAAGTTGCCTCACATTAATAATGACACCATTTGTGCCGTGCTATGACAATTTGTCACAATTTTTATTGTGTCCACAGGAAGAGGCAAGGGGCAGGTAGAGTGGAAGTGGAATAGGTGGGCGCAGATTGAGGTAACACGCCAGATGAACATTAACCAGAAGTTGGACCAACTGAAGTTCATAAACTAAGAATTCATGTGCACGCAGACGGCACCGAGAGAAACAGCAACAGGAAAAAGCCCCACTAACAGGCAGAGACCCAACGAGGAAAAAATAACAATGGTAGGAGGGCTAAGAGCGAAACTTGAATACCCTTACTTCTTATGCGATTGAGTGTGCAACATATAGCAGAAAGAGGGAAGCATTTGAACCCTAAAAACTCCAAAAATGTACTGTATTCTTTCTTTGATATTCTGTTAATACTCTATGAACTACGAAAATGAATGCTGCAGATTCACAGATAGAAAAAATAGATCTATCAAAATTGACTAATTTCTACTCATTCTCTAGAAAATTTCAGAAATTTTCAATATAATGCTAGAGTTATTACTTAAGATAATGATCGTGACTTTATATTCATTGACGAGTTTTCATTTTAAACAGAACCATATCTTTCATCTGCCATAAAAAACCACCAACTTTACAAATGAATCGAGATACCTTGACCTCTTAAGTGCATAACAATGGCAACACGAAACAAATTGGCATTCAAGGCAATAAATACGACTGAGAGAACAATAGAGAAGAAATTGTTGGACATGGACATGAACATCGACATGGAGCTGGGAATTCAGGGTCCAGAGACCGGTCAACCACGAACCACCAGCAGCAGAACCACCAGCAGCAGCAGCAGCACCAACATCGAGACGAAGTAAAATTGTTGACCAATGCGCACAATTGGCAATTTGTGAAGTTAAGCGAAATTAATGAGCTGGCTGTGGCCTTAGCTCCTCCGTATATACAAAATACGAGTAGGTATATATAGTACGGAGTGGAACGGAACACAAAAAATCGTAAATTCTGTAAATGTGGGTGGGCCGGGCCAATGGCTAAATAAAAGGCCCAAAAAACAAGCAGCAGCAACGCACAGGCCGTGGAAGTCTGTTCATTAGTCACACATTGGGTATAGGAAGGAGAAAATGTGAGGAGGTCGCTGGTCTGTGCTATAAGGTGCTCAAGAGCAATTGGCATAAATCTTCGTCTTTGGCTGTTGTATTGCTCTTGAGCTGCGGCTCAATGCTCGAGCGGTCATTCCCGTTTCCATTCTCATTTTCATTTTAGCTTAGCATTTCTGGTCCATTTGGCCTGGCCGAAAACAATGGCTCTTTGATGTTGGTCAATGATTTTTAGCGGTTTAACCTTGAGGCTTATGAATGGGCAGCCCATTGTTGTATGGCTCGTCCATCTCTCCCTCATTTTGTGGCTTTAGGGGAATGCTGAGGTTTGGGGTAGAGAAGTTCTGTGGTTCGGGGCTTGAGGAGAATACTGAGGTGTAAAAGTAAAGCCTGACAAGAATGTGGCGTTAATGCTTGAGTATATGGCATTTTGGTCTTTGGTTTATGGCCAGGTGGATGCTCATTTGTCCATTCGGCACCACATTAAACGATAACGCAATTTGCTGGAAATACTTTTGCGTTCTTTGGACGCGATAGAAGAGATTACTTTTGTGTTATGTATAGATACTTGAACAAAATGGTGATAAATTTGAGATTGAAATCTTAGCTTGAAATGGTTGAAGGACAAGTTTACACTTGTTACACTTGCATCTAGGATTATTACCTCTACAGATAATTTTATCTGACACTTTACATCAGTTAAAGTAAAGGTTTCTCTTATCTTTCATATAAGCAAAAGAAATAGCTAGTGACCGATAAAACTTATTCCTAGCTACCGCATTTTCCTAACTTTATTCATTGCATTTCTTTATAAATCACCGTCGGATGAGTCCATTGACAGTTGAATTATTTCGTGCTCTCCATCACTCGTTCTAAATGGAAATCCCTAATGAGTTGTGTCCTTGCACAGAAAAATTTAAAGTGGCAGGAATAGGAGCTGCTGCTGCTGCAGGAGAAGCTATCTTCACCCTTCCATACCGAATCAGACTCTCGAGTTTTTATCTCATTTCACAAATTGCATTTTCCTAAATCATTTTTCCTGACCCGTATACTTCCGTTTCCTCCCGTTGCCGCGCCATTTTCTATGTCTCTTCAAAGCTGCCAAGTCTTGCAATTAAATTTGTGTGTTTTTTTTTGCTTGCCTCAACTGCTGTTGATGACACTTCAGTCTGTGACGTTCGTTGAGAATTTATCACCTTTAGTGTGCCATCGCTCTCGCTCTCTCCGTCTCCCTTTTGAGGCGTTTGCTGCTGCCACGCCTCGTTTGTCAGCTTTATTCAATTTTGAAAACTGCAATGCCAGTAAAAGTGGTGCTGGCTGGCTGGCTGGCTGGCTGGGCTAAGAGGAAGCTGATGCCAGACAAGCTGCCTTTACTTTCATCAAACTTCTGGCATTTGACGCCGCTCCGCTTCCCTGGCTGCTTATTAAAAACTCAACCGCCTGGGTCTCTCCCTCTCCCCGCCGCCTCCTGCCAGACACTTGACTGTCGAGTTGAGTGCTGAAATATTGTTGGCTCACTGAAGTCGTGGCTCCCACGATTCCCTTCCGGCCCCGTTCTGCTCTGTCTGGTGTGCACATCACTTTTGGCATATTCCTTCCCGCCATCCCTGTCGTCCAGACATTGGTGGTGGAGCCAGGGATATCATATCAAAGTTGAATGCTTATATTTATTAGCTGCATGCTAAATTGACTCTAGGAAGAAGATAAAATCTCTCCCTCCTTTCTGGGGGAGTTGAAAAATGTTGAAAATTTCCGCTGCATACTTTTCGGGAGCCATGCATATTGCACATACGCCACGTGTGACGCTAGGAATTGTTTAGCATAAAAAACAAAAAATAAAAAGCCCATAAAAGTTGGTTTGGAAAACACTAGGAAATAGATAAAAACCGTTTTGAACTGAAACCCAAGAAAAGTTTTCCATTGAAAAGTTTCTTTTCTGTCTGTGTGTGTGTGTGTGTGTGTGTGTGTGGAAGGAAAAGTGAAAAATAAATTCTATCCACAACAATGCAATGGAAAATGTGGGTTCGCCTGGGTAATTGTTGTTTACTTATCATCTGTCTGTATGTCTCCCCTTTCTTTTTCTTTCCATATATGTCTCTCTCTTTCTCTCTTTCATTGTATTGTTACCTGTTTTTGCCTGATGCGTTGTGTTGCATTTAAATTGTATTTGTTGAACTTTATAATGGCAATGAAGTTGATGTTTTTACGAAGCAATTTGTTTCAACTTCTAGCCGTCTCTTTCTTACTCCTGCATTCTGTTGGTCTTCTCTTCTCTTTCTCTTTCTTACTCTATCTACTCTCCCGCTATCTCTTTGGCATTTTACTATGTGTTTTTCTTCTTGTTCCTCTGCTTTACTGACAAAACTTTTCTGTTACTGTTTTCCCTGCACAACTTTTTCTTTGGAGGCTGAGCTCATAAATTTTTATTATGAATGCACATAGTTTTCCTCGTTTGAGTTGCAGTCAGTGGCACTCTCTCCCCTTCTCTCTCTCTCTCTCTGTCTCTCTTTGTGTGTGGTGCGGTATGTGTGGCGCGAATATGTGGCTCAGTTGGTGGTTGAGTTTGGTGTGGTTAATGTGCATTTGGCAGCTATTTTGAAACATGTTTTGTGGCAATTCTTTTTGTCTGCTTTACGGACTACTTTTCGGTCATAAATATCGCCTAAATGAAAAGTTGTGGCAGTAACTACAACAGCGATTTGTGGCCGCCATTGTGTGGCGTGTTATTAAATTTATATTTAAATACGTGTTTAACTTATGAGAACATAACGCGAGAATCTAGAGAGCTACATAGATATCCTCCGCATTATGTTGATGCATTTCCCTGTATCTTCCATAACTTGTGCCGCTTTCGAATCACTTATAATTTAATTAAAACATTTCCCACACTTTTCGGGTCACACGAATACCCGTGTAATTTGCCTTACACTGAATAAATATGGTGCGAGTATATGCATACGTATATCTTTTCCTTTATTTATATGCTGCTGGCGTCAGCATTTACGCAAATTTCCCAGGTGCCTTATATTTCATTTGCCAACAGCAGAAACAGCAAAAACAGCAAAGAGAAAGCGCCGAAAAAGAACAACTTAAAGTCCTTAAAGTCCATCAAATGAATTATAAATGATAAACTGACTGAACGATGGGCGCTTTTACAATTTTACTCCGCACCAAGTTCTTTGCGGGGCCTTAACTTGGTTTCGCATATCACCCATGAGGGAATGTCCATATATGTAAATACGTTTCATTCTTTTTCGGTTGTGTCCGCCATTAAGCAGGTTAATGCGCGCCCTTGCTATCTGCCCAACCCTTCCACATACGAACAAACGGACATACATCCCACCCTACTCATATACATACATACATATATGTATGTATATCCATGTGGGTATGTTTACCCAGGCTCTGGTTATGCATCGCTCTGCTTGTCATCTGCAGTGGCAGTAATATAACAACAGGGCAGCAGGGCAGTGCAGGACAGGACAGTACAGGGCAGGGCAGGGCAGGGCTCCTTTGTTAAACATCAGGCTGCATTACAATGCATATTCACTGCCCCTATGCAGACCGTGCATTACCTATAGACCCAACACCTCCACCCATATTGGCCCCGTGTCCCCTCCCCATTGTTCAAATTAAGTTTGGCGCACCTTGCTGGCTCTGTGCTGTAACTGACCCTTTTGGCGTACCTGGACTATG